GTTTGTGCGAGCATGTGCTTGATAGGTAGGCAGTTGTGTGGCTTGCCGGAGATGCAAAATGCAAAGTGCAGTGACGAGAATAATAATAATAATAATAATAATAATAACAACAACAACAATGAAGCAAGCGAACCAAAAAATATTATCAAAAATATAAGAAGCGGCAAATAAAAAACAGGAAAAAAAATGTAAAAAATAATTTTCCCTCTCTTTTTGGCAGATGTTTCAACTATATAAATCTGTTTCCCACCCCTCACACTAACTTTTTTTTCTCTCTCTCGTTTCACTCACTCTTTTCTTTCTTCATTCTCTCTGTCTTTATTTCTTTACTTTTGTTACTCTCTCTCTCTCTCTCTTGTCTCTCCCACTCTCTTTCCTCTTCATTCTCTCTCTGTATCTTTCATTTATTTATCTTTCTTTTTCTTTCTCCCGCTCTCTCGTCTCTCACTTTTAAAGCTCTTCATTCTCGCAGTCTTTATTTCTCTCTCTCTCTCTCTCTCTCTCTCGATCTATCTATCTATCTATCTCGGCTCGCTTATCTATTTCAATTTTATCTATCTTCATTCTCTCTGTATTTTTCTTCTATCTTCTCTCTCTTTCTCTTCCGACTCTCTTCCTCGTTTCCCTTTTCATTCTCTCTGGCTATTTCTCTCTCTCTGTCTCTCTGTCTCTCTCTCTCTCTCTCTCTCTCTCTCTCTCTCTCTCAGTAACTAACTAATCACCTAATTCCACAACTTTGGCTTCACTCCTCAATCTCAAAACATCTACCTGTTCCCCTCTACTTCACCCACGCACCCTCACTGTTACGAGTGGCATCTCCTTTGTATCTTCCATTTTCCGTTCCGTTGAGTTTTTTTCCTTCGAAGTTTTATTCTATCGTCTTTTCATTTCAATTCATTCATTCATTCATTCATTAATCTTTCTTATCTCTTTATTCTTCTTCCACTACATACCGCTTTCTCTCTTTCTTTCTTTCTTTAAATTTTATCTATTTCTCCTTTTCTTCATGTTTTTCTTCAATGTAAATTCCTTCATCATATTTTATTTATTCCGTGTTTTCCTCGTTCCTTCGTCTATCAACTTTTCTTCTCTTCTACGTTGCTTCATATTTTCATTCCATCATTTATCGTCTCTTTCTTCTCTTCTTTTTCAACTATCAGTTTCTTTTTCACTTTCTTTTCTCATCTTCGTCCCTTTCCTTCTTCTTCTTTAATAGTTTCATTCCTTCTTTCTACTTTAACTAAACTTACTCTTTTTCATTATTCGCCTTTTTGTGTTCTGAGAATTTCTTTCATCTTGAAGGCCTAAATTTATTTTCTGAATTGCTTTTTAAACATTCTTTTCTTTATGTAACTTTCGTCCTCTTTTCCTTGTTATTTTAATTTAAGAAAGTGTTTTATTTGTTTATCGTGTGTCTGCTTTTTTACATTTTGATATGTGTACGTTACTCCACATTCAAATACTTTCTATTTTACTTTTCTTTCTCATTTTCTCGCGTATATATACATACATACATAAATATATATAATTACATTTACTAAACGACATCCCTCGTCATCTCCATCTTATCCATTATTTCATCTTCATCTTGTGTGAACGATTCCATACGCACTCACTTGTACCCTCAGAAACTTATTCTTACTTTCACTTTCACTTTCACTTTGAACAACGCGATTGAGCGAGCTATTTACCAATTCAAATCTCCGCAACTTTTGGTGCCCTATCTCATGTGTATTCTCAAATAACTGTTTTTCTGCATCACTGGTCAAGTTTGTGCAGTCTTTAGAAAACCTGCGTATTGCATTTTTTTAATTCACTAAATATAGAAATCTTTTATTCCCATCATCGCTTTTTTTTGCCTTTCATTAAATCATTGTCCTTATTCCTGATCTTATTTTTGTGGTGACTTTTGTTGTTCGTTTCCAATTTAATTCTTCTTCTTCTTCTTCTAAAATGTTACTACATAATAAAAATCATCAGTGAAAATGTCACATTTTCCTACATTGTCGATGTACGCGTGAACTACTTTGTTACAGATTGTTATAATAATAATAGTTGCTCTTATGATTTTCATATTTGCCCTAAAAGCATATGGTGTTTATGGCGAGAGACTACGTGACTGTAAATCGTATCAATCTTCAACAGCTTATCTCTTCAATGAGGAAGTTAACCGTTTACATGCAAGAAACATTTGACATTCATTGACCAAACATTTAGTGTTAGTGTCGGTTGAAACTTATAACATCTCTCTCGTAAAACAGTTTTTCAGAACATTAGTTCTCATGGTCAATAACTGCTATAGCTCTTTCTTATACAGCTAGCGGTTGCCTTCCAAACTTTTTTGTAAGGTCGTGTCAAAAGCTAACATCTTGATTTTATCATTTTGTTACATGTGCTACCTATTGCGGCTGTTACTGATTTTAGAAGTTTTTATGGCACGCAACAGACTCAGACCATCAGTGTGAGTTGGTCAAAGACACTGGAACAAGGAATGCAATATTTATGCTCAGAATGCTATCAGAAAGAGCAATACAAATGCAGAAAGACGTGTAACTGTGTTTTATAGATTAAGAAAAAGAGGTTGATAAAGTATGCGAAAAAGATCTGTTGGAACTGCTTAGAAAGCATGACATATTTTGGAATGATAATGAAATAATCAAGAACCTATGCAAACACAAAACTACCTGTATATAGATAAAACATGAGTTCAGCAGATATACAGTAATAGAAAGGGGTTTAAGACAAGGGTATGACTTCTCACCAGACTTATTCAATCTACACTGCAAGACAATTCTAAGAGAATTAGAAGTCCTATCAGGATTTATTCTTGGCGGCCACAATCTTGCCAGCATATAATATAACACAACGTTGATAGCAGACACAGGAAGAAAACTAGATGGTAGTGAAGGAAAGCGATTTTTAGAAGACAGAATACAAGGTTGTTAGAAAAAAGATGAGCCCAAAATACAAATCAGATACCAAAATCAAACAAGTACAACAAATTAATATCTGAGAATTGTTCTAATAAAGAACAGAAAGAGCGACACCGAAATCCGAAGACGCATTGGGATAGTGAAAGATGCCTTCCAAAAGCTAAGCAGAGTATTAAGAAATAGAAAAGATTCGTTCCAAACAAAAAGAGTACTGAACTGTTATGTTAATCTGTCTTCCTACATGACAGTGAATACTAGACAGTCGCAATGGATGGTGGAACAAAGGTTTAGGATAAATAACAAATAGAGAAAATTTATAACGAGCTGAAAAGAATAGGAAATTTTAGAGAGACACTATCAGGGACACGGCACATAAAGAAGAAAAGGGCCTCTTATTTAGTAAAGCTATTTGTTTGTAATCATGTAGCCACATTCTAATAAAGGATTTTCTTCTTTAAGAATTAAAAGGTTTATTCACTTGAAGCTCTTTTTGAATCCGTGATCTGAGAAAACGGTTTTTATTTAGATAATAATTTAGTCATTTCTGAATGAACTGAACGCCATGCTTGGCAAACATATGAGAGTTCAGAACTAACGGAGTTGTTTAAGTATTCGGTTTAATATTGTGTCTTACGGTGTTAGACAATAGTACCCCTAGTTCAGCCTATCCCGTACCCTAAGGTGAAAATACCACTAGATCTCAAGAGGTTACAGTGAATGAAAGTGAAAGAGAATGAGAAGACTGAAGAAAATTGAGGAAAGGTAAAAAAAAAAATGAAAAAGGGTTCAAGACGATAAAGAATGGCGATTGACGTTGCATTTAAAATTTTGAAGATTGTAGAAGTAAGGAATCGGAAGGAAGTCTCACAGGCAGGAAGTGCGAGATAATAAAAATAAATGTTAGAGTAGAAGTGGCGGTTGCATCTAGCTAGTTCGACAGCAAAAACGGTGGGACCTAATTGCCAATCTAGTAGCACGCTTAAATTCATATAATCAGGGCACAAAAAATTCCTTCTAGCAGTTGTCATGAAACTATTTATAGAAAAGACAGATGGAAGCAACGTCATGTCGGTGAGAAAGGGACTGGAGATGAGACGCCTGACCAGGACTGATTGTATTGCGGGTCTTTTTCAGGATTTCGTCAGGAATCTCAAGATGCACCACAGGAGTACCAGACCAGATGTGGCAACAGTATTCAATACACGAACGAATGGTAGATTTATAAATGCGCAAGATGGATTCTGACGATAAGAATTTTTGGTACTACACAGATATTCAACCTTCTTCGCAGCAGACGTAGCAGTTATAGAATTATATCTCTGCTACCTCAAATATTCCTTTCATCTGTCCAACATCCACTGTCATATAAGAAGATTGATACTGATAGCAATTAAGCAAACTTTTCCAAACTTGTTTCTAATGATATTTTCCTGTTTCGTAATACTTTACTTAGCATCTGAAAGGCATCTTTCACTATGCGCTTTCGAATTTTTGTGTCATATTTTCTGCCCTCTGTTCCCCGATAGTTAAATGTCTGTAATAGAATAAAGTTGTAAAATTTATTTAAAACCTGTCTCGGAGTTGAACACACACACACACACACACACACACATACACATTTGTCTTCTATACAGCCTTATTCTGAGAAATTTGTCGGCATGGAAAACAAAAACACACTTTTAGTCAAGAAAAAAAATACTCATATCCCCCAAAAAAAAGGCTTACAGAGTCGTTATCTTTTTTAAAACGTTTGAATTGCATATAATTATACCATATTTCGTATTTGTTTATCATCACTTGATAAAGTCACATGACGAAACGCGTCGACAAGGACTAAGTACTATTTTCAGATTGACTATTTTATTCAGTTTCTCTTCTATACAGATTTATTCTGAAAAATCTAGCATATATATATATATATATATGTGTGTGTGTGTGTGTGTGTGTGTGTTTGAGGTGGGTGGGTGTTTGGTTGAAACTTTGTGTCGGCTTTTTGTAATAGTTCCGTTCGGGCAGATGTTTTAATAGAATGCTTAATGCCAAAGAGCTCATAATTAACAACAATAC